TGTATCCCTAGTGTCCCCACATGAGCCGTTATGAGACCAGTTGCATACATCATATGGATGGGTATACAGCACACCAGTCTATCCGTTTATCTTGATATCTCTCTCGAGTAACCTATGACTGTGATTATTTAGGATCTGTGCTTAAAGGCGAATTGGTCTCATTATCGTGATCTCATCATGATCCGATTCCTATTACACAGATCTAAGGACATCACAATATATACATGTATATATGCAATAGTAAATATAATAAACAGAAAGACTATATGTCAAGTCACACGTGTCATCACTCACGTGATTGACTTGCATGACACATATAACTAGCATATTCTATTCAAGTATATATGATAAGCATATTCTATTCAAGTATATATGATATGCATAAAAGTAGGAATAGGATATTATGAGTTATGGTATCAGTGCCTAGGTCATGAATCCTATAGACTATCTATATTTACAAAAGCATAAAATGCTACTTGACCATCTTATAAGCTTTAATAATTAAAATATTTTGATTTGCTTTCTTATTATTATATGATGTTCCTATATTTGGTAGCTAATGTATAAGTAACTTGGGATTAATCAAGAATATATCATGAGAATTAGAGAGTACTCAGGTAGTTATGACAATGTTTGGATGGTGACTCCCAAAGGTAGAGAAATAACCACCCATCGAATTCAATGAGATATGGTGATTAATATGATGATAGAATAGGTAGAGAGATAATGTAGATAGTTAGAACGACTACAGGCTCGTGTATAGGAGGCAGCACCACACCGATAATAACTCGAGGATGAGATATTTTTAAAATTACTAAGTGAAAGTTTTAGAAAGATTGATTCACTAATCGTTCGAGGTGATATAAACTCACTAGTGATAGAGGAGGGATGTACATGATATTTGACATTTGTGATTAATACTAGATGGAATAAAAAGTCAAACTAGAGGATGCACCAATTGTGAAAGGTTCTTCCTTAGGACTTCCTTGGACTGCCATCTAATAGAAAGATTGAGTCTGTCATAAATTTGATACATGGCACTGAACCAATTTATCGAGAACCTCCTTAGATTGTCACATAATAGAGAGATTAAGTTTGTCATAAACTTGATATTTGGCATTGAATCAATTTACCAAGCACCCTACAGAATGGTCCTAGTAGAATGGAAGAAGTTTAAGGTATAATTAAAAGAGATTTTTGATAAATAATTTATTTGCCTTAGCTTTTTCCCCTAGGGAGCACTAGTCTTATATATAAAGAAAAAGGATAAGATAATGTAATTATGCATGGACATTTGAGAGTTAAATAAAATGATTATTAAGAACAAATACCTACTCCTTAGAATTGATGACTTATTTGAAAAATTACAAGGCGTATCAATATTCTCCAAAATTAATTTATGATTAAGGTATCATCTATTGAAAATTAATAAGGAGGATGTTCCCAAAACAACCTTTAGGATTAGATAGGGGAATTTTAAATTTTTTATAATGTCATTTGGTTTAACTAATGCATTGACAGCTTTTATGGAGCTAATAAACTAGGTATTTAAGAATCTAGAAATATTTATGATGATTTTTATTGATGACACTTTGAGACAATCACACTCTAGAGAGGAACATACAGAATATTTGAGAACAATTTGAGTATTTAAAAAAAAACTATATACAAAGTTTAAAAAATATGAGTTTTGGTTAGAGAAGATAATATTCTTTAGATACAATATATCTAAAGAAATGATCTTAGTAGATTTAACTAAGGTGGAAGTAGTTAGTACTTGGCTCAGAGACTAATGTGACTTAAGATAAGGAGCTTCTTAAGATAATAGATTATTACAGAGGTTTTGTATGAAGATTCTCTATGATAGCATTACCACTCACCTAATTAACCAGAAGAAATATTAAATGTGAATGAACTAATGCTTGTTACACTAGTTTTCAAGAATTAAAAAAGAGAATGATTTCAGCTCCAATTTCTACTATATCATCTGGGTTATGAGAATTCGTGGTTTATAGTAATGCATTAAAAAATGACCTAGCATATGTTTTGATGTAAAATGGTAGAATTATAACTTATGTTTTAAGACAATTAAAGGATTATAACAAGAATGATCTAACTTATGATTGAGAATTAGCAATGGTGGTGTTTACATTAAAATTTTGGTTGATATTAATTTTACGAAGAGAAGTGTAAAATATGCACTAATCAAAAGAAGTTTAAATGAGACAAAAAGAGATAACTAGATTTAATAAAAGACTATGATGGTATGATTAATTAACATCCTATGAAAACAAATATAGTTATTGATGCTTTTAAGTAGAAATTGAATCAAATATAATCCTTAAAAGTTTAATTGGGAGACTAGTAGCTTTATCACTCCAACCAATATTATTAGAAAAAATTAAAGAGATACTGGTTAAGAATATTTATTTAAACTAATTATGGTCTTTGAGGCAAGAAAAAGAAAGGGTTTTCAAATTGTTTAAAGGGGTAATTAGTTTTGACTTTATGTACTTAAGAAAGCTAGCATAAAACAAAAAATTTTAGTAGAGACACACTTAACTCTATATTCAAAACATAATGGAACAACCAAGATGTATAAAGATTTAAAAAAATACTAATGGTGGCGGAACAAAGAAAGATATAATTTAGTTTATTGAAAAAGTCTCGCATGCTAACAAATAAAAATAAAACATCAAAATCTAGTAGGTACATTAAAAAAATGACAAATATCTCAAAGAAAATAGGAGAAGGTTAATATGAATTTTATCATAGGTTTGTCCAAGATTAACAAGGGACGTGATGAAATTTAAGTTATGGTATTAGATAGAATCTCGAGATTCCCATTAGGATTTTGGTAGAGTCTTCGTAAGGTAAAATAGGCAATGTTACCTTTTAACACTATATTTTTATCCTTAAGCAAATTGCTAAATAGAAAGAATCTTTCGGATATAAAAGGATATGCTAAAAGCATGTGTTTTGAACAAATAATTACCTTTGATAAATTTTACTTATAATAATAGTTATCAAATAATAATTAGAATGAAATCATTTGAAGTATTATGTGACAAGAAGTCCAAATCACTTCTTCATTGGGTCAAGATGAGTGAAAAAAAAATGTTTGGGTCTAGATTTAGTTAGTTAAAATCTGATTTTATAGTTCAATACTTGGTTCACTATGTTTTTTCGGATAAATATTTTTTCTCACTAAATAAGATTAAAGATATCTTAATGATCGTATAATCAGTGCACCAATAATATTTTATTTATTTATTTATTTAAAAATTTTGAGTTTCGTAAAGATTGTGAATCATTAATGGCAAAACTCTAAATTTTCGCTTGCACAATTTTATTGTAAGGACTAAACTTTTGGATTGAGGACTTGATAGATAACATAGTTTGGTCAAAATTATTCATAGGTGTAAAATTGAGTGCGTATTGACTTAATTTTTATTTTATTATTTTATCCTTATTTTACTTTTTTTTTTTTGTTTGCCTTGACTACCATAGTCGTAATGGCATTTCTTGTCATTATCTCACCCATTTCTTGTCTTATCATTGCTTGTGGATGGACTTATATCCGATTATATCTTGGGATGATTTTACCGATTGAACAAACACAAAGATCGAAAATACGTCTTACGTCGATGATTGGCATATCCAAAGTTTTTCATATCATTTTTCTTAACTTGGATCACAAATTGTTCTGTTAAATTTCTTATTCAGAATGCTCTTCATTTATTTGAACCTAATATGTTAATCAAGAACCATGAGGCCAATTCATAAAATCACAAGAAAAACCATCAAATTTGCTAGTTAGCATCAGTTCCAGATTCCTGAGCAAATGGACACTCAAAGAAGATATAATAAGAGAAATCAGAGCCACACTCACAAGAGAGGACAACTTATTCCACCCTTTTCTTGCCTTGAAAATGCATTATTCCCATCAGTCTTGTTCTATAGGAATATGATGGGTTATTGACACTGTTGTAGGCCGATTATTCTTTCAATTGATCAGCGTTTGATGCAACAACTAAACAAGAAATTAAATGCAGCAACTAAATAAGAAATTATCCACTCTGAGAAAAATCTTGCATGAATTTAACGGATACATTTTTAATTAAAAAAATCATTCTTGGCTATTTATTAGATATTAATTCTCCAAACTCTATCAAACTAAACACCAACTCCTCGCGTATGACTGTTCGGAAATCAGTGTGCATGTTAGCACGTTGCATCGACAAATTGCTTCCCTCATCCTTTCCATGGTGTCTTTATCACTCCATTTTCTTCCGTTTAGATCAAACCTCAACAATTCTCTACTTGAGTCAGTTGCCACACTAGAAATTCTCAGCACTCAACTAAATCTATACACTAAATGATCCAAATAAATAACAAAAGTTTCATTTTCCCGTCAATCATTCAACAAAGTATGCCAATCTCTCATACAATAGCTTCGACAAATCCAAACTAATTAAACCCTATGACAAGAACCCTATCTCAATCTCATCACTTGAAGATCCAATAGTTTTAGTAATGGGATAAAAACAAAATTTTGTATATGAACAAATACAAATAGACTGTAGCATACAATGAAATTAAATAAAAATCATAATCAAATGAAATATCAAGATTTATATGAAAAATCCTTCCAACATAAAGAGTAAAAACTACAAGACAAGTCAGAGAAAATCCAACATAAAAATAATGAATATACAAATCTTAAAGTCTCTTATCAAAAATCCAAACAACAATCAGAAGAGAATAACTAAGATATAAGGACTATATCACTATACACAATATCCAAAATCTCTCCAAGTAATCAATTTCATTGTAAATCTGATCTAACCTGAGATAAAAACACTGCCTGGATGATTGAGAATAATCTCTGTATTATCTTGGATGATTGAGAACACTGCCTGAAGATCCAATAGTCTTTATTCATGGTTTCCGTTCTTAACTCTTGTAGGGTATTTTACTCGTTCAAAAGCAAAAGGAAATATACAAAAGGGACTGCTTACCAACATCAGTTTCAAATTACAATATGCCTTCCGACATTTTAGCTAATAATTCTATGGTATCAAAACTTTGCCATGGAAAACAGGATCGAGAGACAGCTTATCAGCATCGTTTACTAATTACAAACATGCCTTCCGACATCAAACTACTAATACCTTAGTATCAAAACTTTTACCATGGAAACGGGATTATGACACAGCAACTTCAGCACAGCATTGACATGTCTCATAGCTGCTGCTTTCAGCTATCCAATCTACTGGCAACTTCCTCTTGGTACCTGATTTGGATATCGGAGTCCTCCCCAAAGAATAACTTCTTAATCTCTGAACGTCTTTTACTTTCAGTGGCTTAAGGATGAAATCTATAGCTCCATCGCCTTGACACCTGCACAATCAGACACAAACTTCATTTTAGTGGACAAAACTAAAAGAGAGACCAGGCTGGCTCTATATCTGTTTTCCTTCGTCTAAAGATGTATGTGCGCAACATGCATACACATATATACACTTCATCCACTTTTTATGCGTTTGATATAAATGCACATGCAAAGAATCTTGTTAAAGATACATCTCCAGTGTAGGTAAGAAGCTCATTTGCAATAGCCAAGATCCTCCAATCTTGATAACATAAAACAGATCTCATTTGACAAACAGTGGTTGCCTGACTACATCAAACATACTTATTCAGTTTTGGTTACTTCATTTATTTGCACCATCACTTGAACTTGAAATTCTAATATATGTAACAGTTGTGTATGACAAGCTAAAATTTGCATCCGGAGGATTTGAAGTAGTTCATGAAGGTAACAAGAGAGTGCCTGCTGATTCTCTGAGGATCATTTTCAGATGACATCATGACTACCGGTATGGATGGGTAGCTGCTGTGCTCCTGATAGTTAGGATAAGTGTTAGAACTCGACCAAGCATTATCAGTAGACAAAGTTATACCATGATTATAATGTGATAGTCGATCACTACAAAGAGCAAAGAGAAGATGCTACATACCTTGACAGCCTTGAGAAGGTCGTAGCCAGTCATTTGTGGCATACAATAGTCAGTTAGAATTACATCAATATTCTTGTCCTGCAAAGCATCGATCTACTCAATTAAGTTTCAAGCATCTACAGGTCTATGTATAAGTTCATGTCAATTAGGGTGTATATCTTCAAATGTTAAATATAGCTAAAAATATTTAATAGTTACATTATTTTTCAAATGGGCCATAAAAATGATATTAGTAAGTCAAATGCATATTGTATCTTGTTGATTTCTGGTTTCTAAATTCTGTCCTTTGTCATATTGCGATAAGACGAGCACTGGGAAGATTTATTATGTGTATATGCATATGTCTAAATATAATAAGATGCTGTAGGTTCTGATATTTATGCCATTGAGCCTTGTTTAGGGCAACATCACAATTATCTGATAAATTTATGTTTGTGCCTGCACACACACACACACACTGTTTCGCAGGCATGCTAGTTGGGTCAAGATCAGAGCATGCCAAGTGGCTTTGTGAAGAGATGCTTAAATAGAAATTAGATTTGGACAGGTTAGTGTAGGAGGGCACAAGAAAGAAGAATTTGGGATCTCCCAGGCATTAGTTTCATGATTTTAATCATAATATAGTGTTTTCTTTTTCATCTATTTTCTCCTTGTAAAAGTTGATACAAGATTCTCTTTTATTACTCACTCCTCTGTTTTCTTCTGCTGTCTTAACCTAAAACCCATCAGGATGCTACTGTCATTGTAGTTTACTCTGTTCAACCAATGGAGGACGGTAATGGCTCTCTTCCTTCCTGGATCGAAACCATCATCTTTTGAACATCTCCGGTCGAAGTGTCTTAGGTATGTAACATGACTAGGAAGACAAGAGGAATGGAGTACAAGTCTGTTAATCACATAGATGCTCATCCAACCAAGAAGAAATCTTTTCAGGAGCTAAAGATGCCTATGGTACAGCGAGTATAGCGATATGCTTCCGATTTGGAGAAAGAGAACTCCATGAATCTAGTCGCACTGGCTTTGTATAGAATGATGATCGTGTAGTCCAATGCTTCATAATTTCTTAGTTGAAAACAAATATTTGGATGAATTGATTGCCGACGTATATCATTCTATAAAACATAAGAACCAAGTAATGTAATGAGCGAAGGAACTTAACGCACGTTAAGCAGGGCTGTCACTCCATTCAAGCCAAGAACTTCCATTGCTTTCTCTCCCGACTCAACAGCAATAACTGGAACGAAACCGAAGATGAGTAACATACTACAAAAAAATAACCAAGTAAAATAAAGAGATATCCTACGGAAGAAGCTACAAAAATCAGAAGGTTTTGTGAGACATAAATCCATGAACATATAGTTCCTATTGCTTTGAGCTCACCACTTCTTCAATAAAAGATCAACTGTCTAATTTTCTTTCTCCTAAAGGGAAACAAAATTGTATGTTGTCACCTTAGCTTGTGAAATGTGGATTTTCTTCCCTTTTTTTTTTTTGTCCTTCTGAAACTACTTTATTTGTCGAGATTGAGGAGTCACTTATGGCTTTGACTTTTCTCGTGGAAAACAAAAGTGTGGACTACTTGGCTTCGAGAGTGGCAATCAGTGGCTTTACTGACGGATGCTGGGACCGGAAGATCCATGGAAGAGTAGCCATCTCTATGTGGAAAGAATTTTCCTTGGGTAGCAGTTTATAGAAGGCAAAACTTTGCTATCCAACACAGAATCTTGTAGAATCCAAGAAAAAAATAAACCTCATTTTGATCAGATTGCAAGGCACAATGGGCTTTCCAAGAGAAAGCTAAGGTGTGTTCCCTGTGTCTTTAGCGATGGCCAAAAGCTATCTGACGAGATGAGATTTCCAAAACAAGGAAGAACAGAAATAAGTACAAGAATTATTAGTCCACGGACCTATGATGGTTGAATCAGAGAGCTCAACATTATTCCACTTACCTTCAAACAACCCTCCACTGTTCTTGAGCAACATCTCAACTATCTTTCTGTCCGAAGGGGAGTCATCCACCACCAGTACTCTCACCGCCTCCCCTCCGCCACCCCCGATAGTGTCCACCTCTTCCCCGGCTTTCTTCACCTGCTCCTCCATTCGCGCCGATGAAAGCCGAATGCCCGCTCCTGCCTCTTAAAAGTGGGCGTACAGAGAGAGAGAGAGAGAGAGAGAGAGAGAAGAACGAAGGAATGAATGGCGTGGAAGAGTGAAGGATGGGATTCGTCTCCTGCTCCAGACAGTTAACATCACGCTCCGGATTTGCTGTTTGCTGTTTGCTGTTTGCTGTCGAACATCACGGAAACGATGAGTTTACGCACTTCGGTCAGCCATGATTAACGCTTCAGTGAGCCCAGAAGGGCTCTTGGGAGGACACAGCAGTTGGTAGAGAAGCCTGTTCGCTGCTCGCGCGTATATAGAGAGGAGGAGGTGAGTGGGGTATAGATTTCTTTATTAGATATGGTCGTCGGGAAGGGAATCTATCACTGTCTTCTGTCGAGGGATTTGAGCCATTGATCGGCCTCTTCCTTCCCGTCCTTTTATCTCTTCCAGCTTTAATATTCCTAAAGTTTACGATTGTACAACAAATCAAATCCTGCTCTTATTCCCCTGCGCTCAAAAGATCCTCTTTTTGATCTCAAAGGACACTTTAGATTTGAACTTTTTTCCTTCTCTCTTTATTTCTCGAGCTTTTCGTTTCTGTTTCCTTCACTTAGATTTTTTTTTTTTTTTCTCTTGTTCTATATTTCAAGCTTGTCTTATTCCCTGACATAGATTGATTGAGATAAAACAAGTCTGTTTCATTTGCCAAACTTCATTCAAGTGAAATCAAATCAGATTCTACTGAAGTTGGTACACGTTCCAATTTTGCTTAAATGTTGTCCTTTTCAACAACATTATGGCTAGTAACTGTAGCCGCAGTCTTTAGATAAAATCTAGTAGGTAGAGTTAGTTAATGAAGTATAACAAAACGTACTGAAAGATACAACTCATCGTCATCAGCATCAAACCTTTTCAGTAGAGAAAAAGATAATCAAATAAAACTAAGGGAGAATAGCTAATATATATAATTTTGAGCGATTATCCTAAAAAGAAATCGAATTTTCATTTTTTTCTTAGCACACTCCCATTTTCATTACGTCAAAGAGAATTTTAACTTTTCAAAATCATAAAATTATTCTTCCACTTAGCTGAAGAGCTTGAGTTTTTATATCATTAAATCTAATTAGTTTCGAGATGGATAAATATTTTGAGATTTCTAAAATATTTCAGTATTATAAAAAATCTTAGTATGAGAATGAATTTTTATAAAGAAAAAATTTTAATAATTAAGATTTGATTCTTCTATAAATATATGATATGTTATTAGGTCTTCATGGAAATAATAAGATGTAAGTAATATTTGACATTAGGAACGAGTCGGCACTAAGAGGGAGGGTGAATTAGTGCAGCGGTAAAAATTACGTCGGTTAAAAAAACCTTCATACGATAAAATCTGATTTCGACGAAAACCATTTCAGAAAGATCTTTAAATTAAAAGCATATGGAAGTGTAGTTGATGTAAAGCAAGGAAGACAGTTTGCAGTTAAGATAAATGATAAAACAAAAATACAAATCAATTTATAGTGGTTCGATCATCATGACCTACATCCACTCCTCCGATTCCTCTTCCGTCAAGGCTACCGGCATCCACTATCGATCTTCCTTTAATAGGCAAAGATCAACCTCCTTCTTATACCCCTCTTCTCCTTTTATCGGGTTTAGGAGATATCCCTTACAAGCACTCACTCCTCTCTCAAACTATTCCAACACTTAAACTAGAAGAGGAGGATTCTCACAAGAGATTACAATAGCGTTTTCCCTTCTTTAAATTCTCTGTGCTTGTATATATTAACCAGGGATGAGAGGGGTATTTATAGGCTTCAAGTTGATTCAAACTTGGAGCCTAAAAAAGTCCCATCCCAGGTTTCTTGGGTACTAGCGGTACCACAACCGTTCTTGGGCGGTACCACCGTCGAACAGGGGTGGTACTACTGCTGGCAGCATTGCTGCCGGCGTTACCACCGCCCAGGTTTCCTGGGGTGTTGTTCCCCAAGCAGTGCCACCGTTGGCCAAGGTTTCAGCACCCTGGTTGGGCCTTGAATCCGGCCCAAACTAGCCCACCTTCGGGCCCAGTTGGCCCCTAACAGAGTTGATGGGATTACCTCCCAATCACAACTCTAATTATGTGCTAACTACGATTCCTAAGACATAATCTAAGCAAGATAAGTTCGGTTTCTTCCGGCGAGCTTCCGGTGATCTTCCGACGAACTTCCGACAATCTCTCGGCAATGTTCCGGTGGACTCCCAGCAAGCTCTTGGATTTCACGACGATCTTCTTGGCGAGTTCCGACGAGCTTCTTTAGCAAGCTCCAAGACTTCTCGGTCAATTCCGGCAAAACTTCCGACGAACGTCCGGACTTCTGACGAACTCTCGAACTCCCAACGAAATCGCGTTCTTAACTCCGGGACTTCATTTTTCTTTATGCCTTGCTATCGTAGTTAATCCTGCACACATAAAAATACATTTCGATCTAGACAATTATTACTAAGCATGAATCTTGTCATCCGGCATGTCATTGGTCTATCGACGCTTCGTTCGATTCTTTGGCGCATCGTCCTCTCTTGTGGCCTATTGCCCAATCGGCCAATTAACCTCCACAACTCCGATATCCTTGGTGCAATATCCGTTCTTCTTGGCCCGATGCCCAAATCCATGGTCCGAAGCCTTCTGTCAATACGTCGACCGATCCTTTGGCCCGACGTCCAATCTTTTGACATATTTCTCCGGCCCAATGCAATAATGTATTGATAATTTCTTTTTACAGGAATGTTTCCACTTGGTACCTACTAGTGACTTGAAATTAGAATTTGATCATTTAACTAGTGACTAAGTTATTCATTGTCAAAACCTATGAGCTAATGAAATAATTGTATTTTAATAGAGTAAGGGTTATGTACATTGGTTTGTATTTGTATAGGATGAATGTATTGTATGATGTTACCATTATTGTATTTATGGTTAGCAAATTTAAAATATTTGTAATTATTTATCTTTGCTTTTATGTTAGTTCTTTTACTCATATCATATAAAAGATAAATTTTAATAATGGATTGTTAAAAGGAGTAGACTAAAAAGTCAAACATATTAAAAATATAATATGTCACAATTGCATATAAATTTTATAAAATTTTAGTTTTGCCTTTTATAAGATTATAACCACTTAAAGTTCAGGATGATTGTATTTTAATGGTCCAATAAAAGTTTATCATGGGCAACTAATAAGGTATTGACACTTTCTTTTTATAGGAATGTTTCAACTCATTACTAACTAGTAACTTGAAATTAAATTTTTTTCATTTAACTATCAAGTTAGTTATTCATCATCAAAATATAAGAGCTAAGAATATTATTATATTTTATGGTAATATATTATATAATTAAATAATATTGAGAAATAATACATCATATTGGAACAATTATGCAATATATTGACATAACTATTTTTCATGTGCTAATAGTTATATACAACCTTCTATTCAAGTAAACATAGAACCGTTTGTTATAATAATGCTTGTCATGGATGAAAGTTGATATTTGAAATTTCATTTGGATTATTTTTTCTATAATTTAACAGTTAACCATTTCAATTTTATCGATAATATTAGAAAGATGTATTTTAATAATTTTTAGTTCATCTCGAAATAAAATAATGATAACACATAATACATTACAATTTATTTTTACGATATTAAGAAAATAAACTTACTGGGGCATAGGGTGTATAGGATTATGTAGGGGAGGAATGATAAAAGGTTTTATATCAACTGATTTGTTGTCATCTCCAAGTATAACCTCTTTGATAGCAATGGCTAAAAAATAAAATTAATTCAAGTTAGTAAAATATTTTGAAACAAGATCTAAATTTTAACAAGCATACGAAGCAATAAAAACTAAGGTTTAATATAGCAAAATTAGTAAAAGAAACAAACTTTTAGGTTGACATGAAAAGAATTGAAGATAACTTTTCACATTACATATTTCCTATATGGTCCACATTGAGTAGAACTTGATGTTATTTATCATTATTTTTAATATCAAAACTACCACAATGTTGGATCGTATGCTATTACAAATACTATAAGCAAGTAACTAATTATTATTACTGAACTAAGATTTTAGCTAACTCTTCTAAGAAGATTATGTTGGAGCAATCTCATCAGACGTTACTGGAAAAAATTACATTCTTGTTAAAAGGAGGAAGGCCATTTGACTAATGAGAAGTTATCTTAGAAACATGATGGGCTAACACTTGATTATTTGTAAAAAAAAATTTATAATATCAAAGTAATATATTTTGATGGATGAATTTTTCATCATAGGATTGAGTTGCTTTAAAGATTAGGGTCAATTAAGCATTCTACATAAGGTTTAGTCTTTTAAAACTGGCCATGGTCATTTAGAAACTGAAATTTTCATTGTATATTATAACTTTCTTTATATAAAATAATGTATTTCATGATAGAAGTGAAATGTATATAAATTAAATGAAGAATTATGACCTTATACAATTTATATACTATGCTTGTTATATTTATTAATTAAATATTTTATAGAAATAATGTCATCTTTTTAAATAATGCTTATACTTTATATAACACACTAAGATTGTTTTATAGTAAGTTGAAAAAATGTTAATTTAAGACTTGTATATAAATAATGATTATTACTGACCTAAGATTTTAGCCAACTCTTCTAATGCTGAAGATGATGTTGGAGCAATCTCATCAGATACTACCAGAAAAAATTACATTGTCGTTAAGAGGAGAAAGATCATCAAGCTAATGAGAAGTTATCTTAGAAACATGATGGGTAACACTTTATTATTTGTAAAAAAAAATTATAATATTAAAATAATATATTTTGATGGATGAATTATTCATCACAAGAATGAGTTGCTTTAAAGATTAGGGTCAATTAAGCGTTATACATAAAGTTTTAGTCTTTTAAAACTAGCCATGTTCATCTAGAAACTGAAATCTTCATTGTATATTGTAACTTTCTTTGTATGCAAAATGTATCTCATGGTAGAAGTGAAATGTATATAAATTAAATAAAAAATTATGACCTTATACAATTTATATATTAAGCTTGTTATATATATTAA